GAGTGTGCTGCAGGGGGCGGGGGTGGGGGTGGGCACGGGAAGCTCAGGCAGTGACCTCAGAAAGAAAACAGGTCACAGGGCAGCAGCCAAGGTGCTTCTTCTGAACTCCTTATGGGTTTTTGACTTTGTGTTTCATTTAGCTCAGGGACTATTTGGGCACCTGATGTACACTATTTTCATCCTCACAATGATCACTGGGGTAGGAAATAAAAGTCCCGTTTTATGGTAGTGGAAACAAAGGCCCAGCAAGGTTAATTAAGTACCTCAAAGAGCACTGACCACATGTTCCTTGTCACCCAGTGTCTGTTCACATGGCTCATTTCTCCTACAGGAGAGTGGTCCTCTAGGGGCGAGAAGAAAACCTCCTATGTGGACACATCCCGGCGGGTTGCCGAGTGCCCACATGCATGTGAAATCATAGGCTGCTTCAGAGGGACAGCAGAGCACTCAGAACTCGTCCTCCTCCATCTGTCTGTCTCCCTCCCCTCTCTCTAACTCATACTTACCTACCTAACACTGGGCACTCACCTACCAAATGAATAAATGAATGACATTTACCCATATTTTGTCAAGCAATGGAAATGAAATAGTCAGAGGTAGGGTAGCTTCAGCCTAACAAAATGCTGCCGCCAGTAGGACACTTACCGTCCTGCAGGGACACCACACCCTCCAGCTCCTCAGGTGTGTCCTGGACCCCACCCCCCACCTCCCCAGGGCCCCTTCTGCAATAGCACCAGGCTGGGAGAACATCTTCCCCTATCTGTGGGCACCACATTCTGAGTCCTGCCCGAGTCCCTGCCCCCTGGGGGATCACGTAAGAACCCAGGCTGTTTCCTTGAGACTCATGGCCCAGGAAACAGCCCTCGGGAGGATCACAAATCCCCTGGGCCAGAGTTCAAGGAGCAAGCGCATAGGGCGGGACTGTCACCCTCCTCTCTCACCACCCCTGGGAGCAGGACCCCCTCCCCCAAGTCTGCCTGACCGTGCCACCCACAATCTAACCACACTCTGGCTTGGGTCACCACGAGACTCTTTTCACGTATGTTCAGTTTTTCCAGCCAGAATGGGAGGTAACAGAGCACAGAGGTTAAAAGCTCAGGTTTGAGAAGTGGACAAGGCTCGGTTCAAATCTCAGCTCTGCCCCTTCCTATCTCTGTCAGCCTGGCAAGTTACTTAAGCTTTCTGATCCTCATTTGTCTTATAGGTCAAACAGAGAATAACAATATCTAGTTTTCCTGATTGTTGTGAAAAGTAAATGAGAATTAATATATAAGAAGTATCTATCCCATGTCCCACCTGGCACATGATGAGCACAAAGAAAATAGTTAACTAATGCTAAAGCAGGGGTCACGAATGCAAATGTTTACAAGCTCTATGAGGCAGCAGGCCAGTGCGGAGCGCGGCAAACCAGAAAGCCCATGACAGTGGGAAGGTGGCAGCTGCTGCCGGCTCCAGCCAAAGGTGCCCCGAGGAAGTGTGGGGCTGCCGGTTTGCGATCTCGGAGGAAGAGTGTCTTAATGGCTTCTGTTTCCACTCTTCTTGCATGGTGCTCAGTGAATATTTCTGAAAGATGCAAAAGCCCTCCAGCTGACCCCCTCTTTGCTCTGATGCTAGGCAGGGGAAGGGGTGTGGGAATTTCCAGGTGATGGCGGAAGAGCTAGGATGGGGCACATGCTCTAGATGACAGCCAAAACGTTCTGCTGGCACATGGTTGGTGGGGAGACGACAGTGGCCTGAATTTCCACGTCTCTCAGACCAGTCATGGGTTATAAAAACCTGAATTGAGCACATCACTCTCAGGAAACAAGCAGACAAAGAGCACAGGACCTCTCACAGCCCGGAGCTGGGCGCACAGGGGTTCAGGGTGTGCGGGGCTCAAGCGCGAATCTACCTTGCTGGCCAGTGACAGGCAGGGGCGGGGGGCCCGCTGGGGGCTCTCCAGCTTGACAATGCTGATGAATCCAGGCTCCAGATTGTCGTCGTCACTGGCGTTGCACAGGTACAGGGGGTGGGACTGCAGAGAGAGAGGGAGAGACAGATTAGGGGGCTCTAGGGAGCAGAAGCCACAGCTGGGAGAGCCACGCATGTCCCCACTGGTCTCACAGGTACCTGGCGGGTCTCCTGGTGCCACGAAAGAGGGGGCCTTCTTATCAGATGGCCTCATGGTAAGCTGGAAGCCACCAGCTGTCATTTCAGGGGTGCCGGGGCCAAGGACACATGGAGGTGGGGGCAGATAGGAGCAAGGGGTGTGTAAATGAAGAGCCTGCTGCAAAGCCGTTCCAACAATCCTCAAGCCCTGCTTTTCCAAACTGGTCAGCTGCAAAGGGCTCTTCTCCTGGCCCCAGCCTGTCTCACCTCCTAATTCTGCTCCAGAAATCCCAGGCTTCGAGCCTACATCAGTGCCTTCAAATTCCTGCTTCCCTCCTTGCTCCCCCAGGGCGCTGCTGGGTGCTGCTGGAGCCTCCTGTCTCCTCGGCAGCTGTTGCCATGGAGATTCCCATCTCTCCTGTGGCTTGCGTCTTCTCACTTGGTGCCATCTTGCTCTTCTCAACATCCCCCTTTGCTTATCCTGGGATTAAGCAGGGTGCTGATAGGGAGGAAAACTATTTAGGGATGAGGCTTGGCTAAGAGGTAAGCCTTGAATAGCACAATTCCTAGGACTCTGTCCTGTCCTCAGCAATGATGCGGCCTGCTCAGCCCACCTGCTCTGAGGGTATGGCAGGTCCAGTCCGAGACCCTGAGCCTCTAGCCCGGCTGGTGCTGAGCAACGACTAAGGGGAAGTGGGCCTTATACATGCTAACAGAGACCAGAGGGCCCCTCATCAGAGGGATGAGGCTGCCCTTCTCCTTCAGAGTGCTGCTAATACCCCCTTGAATCTAATTTTCCTAGAGTGCTGTGACAAAGGATAATCCTATGGGCCAGGGGTTCCCACATGGTGGAAACCCAGTGTATTCTGGCAAGAAAGGGAACTTCCTGCTAGGGAGCTGCCCACGATTCCCTGGCTACTGCTGTTAGACTAAAGGACTTCCAGAAAGAACCATCAGAGCAACCAGAGAGAATTTTGAATTTATGAAGATGTTTATGAACATGATAATGTCAATGATGGACTTAAAAGCACAGTCAGGGCTTCCCTGGTGGCGCAGTGGTTAAGAATCCGCCTGCCAGGACTTCCCTGGTGGGGCGCGGTGGTTGAGAATCCGCCTGCCAATGCAGGGGACACGGGTTTGAGCCCTGGTCCGGGAGGATCCCACATGCCACGGAGCAACTGAGCCCGTGCTCCACAACTACTGAAGCCCGCGTGCCTCAACTACTGAGGCCTGCATGCCTGGAGCCCGTGCTCCGCAACGGGAGGCGCCACCGCAATGAGAAGCCCGTGTGCACCACAACGCTCCCTGCAACTAGAGAAAGCCTGTGCACAGCAACGAAGACCCGACACAGCCACATAAATAAATAAATAAATAAATAAATAAGTTTATTTAAAAAAAAAAAAAAAGAATCCGCCTGCCAACACAGGGGACACGGGTTCGAGCCCTGGTCCAGGAAGATCCCACATGCCGTGGAGCAACGAAGCCCGTGCGCCACAACTACTGAGCCTGCGCTCTAGAGCCCGCGAGCCACAACTACTGAAGCCTGCGCGCCTAGATCCCGTGCTCCGCAACAAGAGAAACCACCACAATGAGAAGCCCACGCACCACAACAAAGAGTAGCCCCCGCTCTCTGCAACTAGAGAAAGCCCGCGCACAGCAACGAAGACCCAACGCAGCCAAAAAAAGAAAAGAAAAGAAATGAAAGCACGGCCACTTTTTGAAAGCACTTTCAGGCTATTTCCTGTCACTGTATCACCGCAGTCCCTCAAACACAGTAGGTTCTCAGTACACATGCACTACCGCACCTTGGACTGTATCCTTGTGAATAAACATCTTTGGGCAGGGGGTGATGAGATGGGAGGGGCAGCCATTCTCGCTCCCAGAAATTAAGGACTATTAGTCTGGTGGTGATCCCCCAGAAATGGGCTGGGGCATGAGGTTGGGGGCTCCAGTGAAGCTGTAGCCCCCATCTCAACAAGCTCCATTAGCCTGTCCGTCTGCCCATTCATTTCTTCCTTCTACCAACACTGAAGGCCCTCTTGGTGCCAGGCACTGTTCAATGCAACGAGGAGACAACAATGAATAAGACAGTCTCCTTGCCTTTAAAGCTCAGAAGACGAGCGTGCAAACACTGCGTACTGTGATGTTACAATGCAGGTTCATTCAAGGCCCTGGGGGAGGGCCTGAGGAGGGGGACCAACAATCCCATGCAGGAGGGCAGAGTGACCTCAGTGCTTCCTTGGGCACTAAATAGGTATGTGTTCACGCAGTGGACCCACAACCAGGGGGGAGGGTACGCTCCTGGCAGAGGACACGGCCTGCGCTGAGGGTTGGGAGGGGCAGTTAGAAGAGCAGGGACCACAGGTCTGTGTTTGAGAAGGATCTCCCTGGTGACTGCAGAGGACAGGCCGGTGTGGTGAGAAGTCAGGAGTCAGCTGCTCCAGCAGAACAAAAGATGTGAGACCTCCCTTCAGGAGCAGCCACGGAGGCCCACTGCTTTGCGTGCTCCCATATCCTACCCATGGTCCAGCTTTCTCAAGATAACTCCAAGATGCCTCTCACTAACCAGAGGCTCAGTGGAGATGGGGAAAGTCACTTTGGAGAAGGGTAGTCTTTAGAGAAGGATTTTCAAATACTTAAGCACCACGCTGCCCCCAGGCCTTCGCGCGGGGACCAACGTGTACTGTACTGTAGTGCCACACGGTAGGGTGCTGAGATAGAGGGGAAGAAACGTGGTGCAGAGTCACCAGACTTCCGTGGTCCTGAACTAAGTACTATGGAAGAAGGAAGAGGAGGAAGTGAACCATTAGTAAATGCCTTTGGCATATATGCCAGAGCCTGTGTTATCTCATTATGAGGTAGGTGTGCTCATCCCCACTTAAAGAAGAGGAAGAAGCTTGAGGCTCAGAGAAATTAAGGTCACACAAGATTAGAACCCAGCTCTGACTCCGCCCTCTGGAGTTACGCAACTCCAAACGAAACACATAGCAAACCCACCACTGTCCATGCTAATGCTGCTGCTGCTGATGAGAGTGTACATTTATTGGTAGAGTAAATATGGTGGGTCAGTGAGTGTTCGAAGCGCTTTTGTGTGTTACCTCTTCTTATCCTCATAACAACCCTATAATTGTCTCCATTTTTAAAAAGAGGAGGGCTTCCCTGGTGGCGCGCTGGTTGAGAGTCCGCCTGCCGATGCAGGGGACACGGGTTCGTGCCCCGGTCCGGGAGGGTCCCACGTGCCGTGGAGCGGCTGGGCCCGTGAGCCGTGGCCGCTGAGCCTGCGCGTCCGGAGCCCGTGCTCCGCAACGGGAGAGGCCACGGCAGTGAGAGGCCCGTGTACCCCAAAAAAAAAAAAAAAAAAAATGTAAATGAAACAACAAGGTAAAACAGAAGCACAACCTTAAAAAAGAGGTGGGGGCTGGAAAAGGCCTTACCTATTGGGGATGGAGCTGGCAGTGAGAGGCCCGTGTACCCCCCCTCCAAAAAAAAAAAGAGGAAACTGAGGCACTGAACAGTTAAGTAACATGCCCAGGATTACACAGCTGAGAGCAGAAGATCAGAGGAAATGGAAAGAAGTAGGATAAAATTAAAAAAATAAAAATTAAGAACAATCTCCATTTGACTTCGAAAACATGATACGTTCCCCCAATTCATAATCAAGAAAATCTGCCTTCCTAATTATACATGCCTAAAGCATAGAGGCCCAAACACAAGTCCCCGAAATATTGGTGGTAACTTCCAGGAATGTCTTAGGCCCTCTTCTCTTTTCACTTTCCACGGTCCCCCCGGTGACCCCGGCCAATCCCATGGCTTTGGTTTCCACGTAGAGGTGGTTAATTACTTATGTGCAGCCCAGACCTCTCTTGAGTTCCAGACCCCAGGAGGGGCCTGGATGTTTCTGCCTGAAGAACCTTAAATGAGACGCCTCAAACTCAGCGTGTTCAAAATTGAACTAATCATTGTATCCCTCAAAACTGTTCCTCCAGTGTTCCCTGTTTGAGGGACCTGAACCACCATCCACCTATTACCCAAGTCAGATGTTATCTTCCTCCTGTCCTCTGATCTCCTTCACGCCCCACCGCTACCACCACCAGCCAATCACCAAATTCTAACAATTCTATCTCCTAAACATTTCTCTTACTTGTCCTCTTTCTGCCATTCCCACCACGGCTACTCTGACACAGGCCACCATCATTGCTATCCCAATTTACTGAAATAACCGCTTAACTGGGGTCAACCCACTCCCCAGTTCCCTATACTGAAGCCAGAGTGGTCTAAGATGCTAATTTGGGCGTGTCACTCCTAAGCACTGAAAAGGCTCCTCAGAGCTCTTAGAGTGAAGTCTGCACTTTTAAACACAGCTTAAAAGACCCTGCCTGCTCCGATGCCTTCACGGCCCGCCTCACGGCTTACCATCCCTGTCAATACCTCTTCCCCTGGCAACCCACGCTCCAGAAACACCTTGTTTCATGTCCCCAAACACGTTGGTGCCTGCTGCTCTGTCAGGGTGGGTTGGAGGCCCTCATCTGGGCCACCCTTAGTACACTGTATTTCCCCAGTCCCGTACTCACCCCAGCGTGTTTCAGTTGTCTGCGTACATCCCTCCCTCTCTCCCCCAGCCTTGACAGACCTCCACTGCCCCTCCAGTGCCTGCTACATAGGTTTTAAAATTAAATATTGAATGTCTACAACCAAATACCTACAAAGACAGCACAATGCACACCAAATCCTGACAACCGTGGCTTTGGGAGAGGAATTACAGAGGAAATGGTGAAGAGACTTTGGTGTTTTGCCTTGAGTACTTCGATCATAGGCTAATATGTGGAGATATTAACTTGAGTTTCATTTTGTGCTGCTGTGGAAGACTAAAAAAGAATGGCAGCCATTTATACATTGTTCCTGTCTTTTCCCTCCTCCCGTTCCAAG